AAGATCCATTTAAGACACATCCCTACCTCCCAATTACTGCTTAATTTCCCCATAGAAATACCACAAAATGATGCCTTCAGCTGTTCTAACACGTGATGCTGCAAAATAGTACAGAGATACAGGCAGAAAAGCAAGCACTTACTTGCCTCCAACCTGTTTCAGTACACTTTGATTAAACCGGCTCGTGACACTCCCATTGCCCAATCTCCTTATGGCGTTCACCAAAACTTGACTTAGGTCACAAATTGATTTCAAACAAGCAACAAAAATTTTCTGCTGAAGCAAGTCGGCATATCGAAACCCGTAATCGAATTACCCCAACAACGCCAACAGCAATGGAGAAGCCAACACCCAGGACCGCAAAGTCTCTTCCCCTGAGTTACTGGCCATGGGTCCCTCTGCAGCTCCCCAAGAAGATCAGTGAGGTTCATATCAATCTTGTGAATGGGCTGCAGAAATCTGCATGATATTTAACAGGCACATCAATCCTGGTTTAATAAAGTACTCTGGTATTCAATCCTAGGTGACATATAGTTACTGCTCTTTAAAGTAATTACTGAGAGTAGAAAAAACTTGCAATTTTTTTCTTCAAAGCTATTTCAAACTACAAACACAAAACAATTTAAAGCAATTTTATCGACAAACATAATTTAAAGCCTAATACTTAGCAATTTACAAATGCAGCATAAAAAAATTCAACTTGAAAAGAGCAAATCAAATCAGTTTAATTAAATTTTAAGCAGCAATGAAATCCTAAGGACATGCCTAACGTGAATTCAGTCCAAGTAAGGTCCATTTATGTAGATGATGTTCATTATTCTAATGGTTTAGTTTGTATTTTTCTTGAGCCTTAAGAATAATACAGAAAGAAACACTCTGGTTTCTTACCAGAGTAAGAGGTTGTCCCTAGCATGTCAGGCAATGCATTTTATTGAGTTTACTGGCTGTTAACTTGGCTGGGGCACCCCAGGCACTCAATGGGATGAGTGAAGTGAGTACCTGCTAATAGGTGTTTTGAGGGCACCCAAAAGAAGCCTTTTTGGTTCTTCCAGTTTTACTTAAAGATCAAAAAGGACAAAACAGCCATGTGTCCAAGAGGAGGGGAATGATTGAGTATAATGGTTCAAAACTTTTTTGATAAAACATTAAGTATTGGTTAGTTTAATCATTTATTTTTTACCTCTAATAATAATTTTTAAAAAGTTATAATACTTTTCTTCCCTTACTCCTATGGGTTGTTCTGCATACCCACTACATATCAGTGTCTCACCTGCTGGAAACAAAAGGGTGCTCCTGTGGTTGAGGAGGTCTGGCTTGTTGCATGGGCATGGCTGGCTTGCTCAGGCCCAACATATCCTTAAAAAAAAACCAAAAAGACTCATTTCCCATGATACTAAAAGTGAATGATTAGTTATTTTTTAAGAAGTGTTCTTGCTCCTCCTCCTGTACAAGCAAGGTACAAACCTGTATTTGCTTTGCAGTTAAATCCTTGGTCCCTCGGAAGACATAACTTTTGGAGATTCCTTCGCAGCTTAGTTCATGAACCTGCACCATCCTCCTCCCAAATGTCGGATAGACCCACCGAGCATGCCTGGAGAGGGAGACCTCCAGGGACATCCTGCCCGAACTCTTTGAGCGCTTTGCTCATCCTCCTCCAGGCATGTGTCGACCACATAAGAGAAAAGTACTGCAGAGCGGGGACTGAGCCCATCGCTTCTAGGCCAAGAAAAATAGCAATATACCATCAGTATACAAATAGACAGTACCTGTCTTTTAAAGCAAATTGGGGGCCAGGTGCCTGCTCCGCCTGTAATCCTAGCATGTCTGGGATGCTGAGGCGGGTTGATTCGCTCAAGGTCAGGAGTGTCGACCGACCCACGCCTGAGCAAGAGCAGCACCTTGTCTCTACTATAAATAGAAAGAAACATTAATTGGCTAACTAAAAATTATATGCCATAACCCATTAACCGGGAATGCGGTGGCACAATGGCTTGTAGGTCCGCCAGTTACTTGGGAGGCTGAGGTAAGACGGATGGCTTGCGCCCAGGAGTCTTGAGGTTGCTCTGC